CCAACATGATTTTCCCAACCTTATTCTCTCTGAGCAGTACCTTACTCTCTGAGGAGCCCTATGGAATCAAAGGGAAGAATTGTGGAGTAAGGTACTACTCAGCTTGAGTAAGGGTGGCAGAATCTGGCCCTAAATTATATAGTACTTAATAACCATAGTCTAAGGGCCTGATCCTGTGATTGCTGAGCACCCTCAATGCCCACTGTAGCCTTTATGATGCAGAACCAACCTCTAAAATAACAGAGAGAGGATGTTCCTGAAAAAAATCAACAAAAATCAGCCTATGTTTGTAATTTGTAAACTTTAGAAAATCAGTGATTTAAATGTTTTACAGACTTCTTGCTTTCTAAGGTATGTTAACTATCAGAATTTATCTGAATCATCAGTTTTGCTATTTATAACCTAACTATTCACTTGGGCTTATATGGATTCATACCATGAAGCAGTAGGTTAATAACCTATAAAAACCACATGAAGGAAAAAGTTGCAAATCTCAGCTAAAACTTTGTGGTTGCCTGGATTCTACAATCTCCAAGCTTTACTGAAGGTTAACATTGGTAACCTGAGCAGAGAACATACTAATGCAATATGCCCTTTGTTCCCTTAATACTCCAGCAGATCCAAATATTAAATATTTTGAGCCCAGTTTTCATGTCTGAGCACCTAATCTTTCCCCTTCAGTGCTCAAATTGTCCCTCAGGCAGTCAGATACTTATTTTAGGTGTCTGGGATGTCAATACAAACACCCAAATGCGTATCTGGATGAATAAATGTAGGACCCAAAGTCTGAAAATTGCCTCTTTATGCCCCGTTGATATTAGACCACCTTCCTAATGCTTAAAGGTATTTATCAAGATTTATCAGTCTTTAATGCTAAAGCGTCATGATTTTACTTGTCAAGTACACCAGCTAAAATTTTCAAACTTGGGTCCCTGATTTTAGTTACTTAGGATCAGATTTTTAAATGTATTTAGATGTATAAATGTGCAGATAAATGCTTTGTGGGGGTTTCAAAAGCGCTAAGGCATCTAACTCCCCTTGGCCGTAGGAAGTTAGACATTTAGGTGCTTTTGACAATCCCACTAGGTGCCTATCTGCCTCTTTTGGCAACTAAATATATTTAAAAATCTGCTTCGCCGTGTTTATTCTATGGGAATTGCTTGTACTGAGCCTCTTTAAAATTAGACTAAATATGGATTTAGGTGCGTGACTCTAGTTATCCATGATTCTAGATAATGTTTTGTAAAGGTGCCTGTAAACTACACTTGAAGCCTTCCTTGCATGCTACAAGAGATGCTGTATCAATATTGAATCACACTGGAAAGGAATTTTCCTAAATAGTGCATTGACTTTGGCTTCCTGCACTACATTCTTCCAATATTTCAGTTATCTTACCAATGCTTTTTTGTCATGGTTATGTAGGGAACCTTGTGTCTTCATCACAACTCTACATTATAGCACAGATTTTATGAGGCCACCTAAGTTCCTGAAGCAAGAGCCAAGAAGAGAGCTCAATGAAAAATATTTCAAAAGAAGTATTTGGCAGGAAAATCTGTACAGTATACATGTTACACTCAAACATTTGAAATTATGGTCCTTGAAACAGAATATGTTTGAGGCATCTGGCTTTTGATAAGGTATCTGCATACTCACAAAGGGAATATGCATTTAGCCTTCTGTAATTAAAAAAAAACTGCCTTATCTGTAGCACAAAAGGAATCTGCAGATGGATACCCCCTGCAGGAAAACAAAGTTCCCAGTCACTAGAATGTAATGCTATAAAAACAAATACTACAAAGGCTGGTAACAGGGGGATGTCTCTCATGCATGTTTATTGTGACGATCTTGGTTCACAGAGATGGAGGTCCCCAAAACATGTGAGCCAGCAGGATCCCTTTGTACTGACTTGCTGTCTGTTTGGCCAGATGTCTTCCCAACAGAGAGATAGAAAAAACAAAGCTCGTATTAAAATAAGTCAGGAAAAAGAAAAGTGTGTCAAATGAAACAAGGCACAGCATGTCACATCTGATATTTATTAAAGGTTGATAAAGTCAGCAGTGAGCAATGCTCATCATCCGGAAGTGACCCTGACTTTTTGGTATGCAAAGCTAGTGACGAATGTCTGGGAGCAGATGAGCATTAAAACCATGTGTAGAGAATGCATAGTGGAGTATGTTGTGTTGGGAACAACAAAGATCTGATTCAAGCTAAGCCCAGTTCTGTGTGATTTACATATGTTCCCTTTGTCGGAAAATGTCCTACACTGGTTCCACTGAGTTAATTTAAAGATCTCCAAATGAGATGTTACAAACCTAGCCAGATAACACTGATTCACTATAAGCTAAATCTTGTAGTCTTTATACTCAGGCTCCAAATAGCCAAAATGCCATTAACTCGAGTGGAAGTTTTGCCTGGTTAAAGATCGAATATGGATTTCAAGCCATGTCTCTGTGCTCCCATGATAAAGGTTGAGAGAAAGTACCTACTTTATGCCAAGCTGCAGTTTTTTACATATACCCTACACTCACTCTAAATCCTTCCCCATGTTGCCTCTTATTAGTCTGACAGACTAATATGGCTATTTCCTTTATAAAGGAAAATACCTTAACAAACCACAAGGCAACTTTAATGAGACCACATTCACAATGCATACCAAATGCCTCTTATGTACCAGATCAACCAACTTTGGATGGACCTTAAGCAAAGCAAACCTAAACTGTTCAAGCTCCACCAGAGATATTGGAAATAGTTCAATACCTATTCTCTCATTTGAGACAGATCCAGGTTTTCATCATCTTTAGTAGTCCTCTCCATTTAATTAGTTAATCAGAAGGCCAGCCACTATCAGGAACAAAATGAATATCCATGTATTCCTGACATAAGACAAATACCACAGCCCAGAAGAGTAACCCTCCCTCCAAGCTGTTAATGACAGCAAGAAGATCTGTGTTCAGTGTATTTGGGGATCTTCTTGACAAATAAGTAAACAGGCCCAAGTCCCCACCCAGAAAACTGTGTTCCTTCTCTAGGGACTGTTAACAGGCAGAACAACTCCCTCTCACAAATACTTCAAGACTGTGTACAAGCCAGCTCTTTCTCACAAGATAAAATCCCCTTCCCATCTCCAAGCTGCTTTGGGAGCCCACTGCCCCCCAAATCCAAGTTCATGTCTAGTTATGGTGACTCCCCAAGTGTCACTAGCAGGATTGTGGGTAGATAGCCTATGCAAACGAAGCTCTCTTTATCAGGACTTTTCTCTTTTCACCAAGAGACGGAGCAGAGAGCCCTTTCCCCCTGGAGCTTCTGGCCACATGGCTTATGCTAACAAACCTAGATTTAGAACATAAATGTATTAACTTGTTTTCCCACCATTTTTTGCGACATATATCAATTTACTGAGAGGTTTGTATCTCATCTGGAAAAGGAATTGCTCTTTCCCAACTGAGCTTGTCCTCTATGTCCTACAGTGACTTCATAATATTGAATTCCTGACATCACATCCATCCCATTGTAACAAAATGTGATGTCACAACAATAAGATTATGGTGTGACTTCACCACAACCATAATGTGTAAGAAGGAGCTGGCCTGTGAGGTGTTCATTTCAGTCTTATCCAAGCCTGATATATGAAATAACACTAGCAAAGTGGACTGAGAAAATAACTCATTAAATAAACTTACTTTATATATAAATCTCTCTTCTTGAATTTGCCGCAATATGAAAATCCCTTTTTAAAGCACTTTAGGTTTAAGAAAACCACTAGAACATGTTACTCTTTGAGATAACAAGAGTTGACTTGCTATTTCTATCATCAGTCCTCAATAAACACAGCTGAAGCTGCCTGTGCATTTCCCTGAAGAATTGCACTGTACAGAAGGTCACAAGTTGGAGAAAAGTAAAATCAGCTGGTGGGTTGATCCCCACGGGAAATATAATTTTCTCATAAAAAGTTGCTGAGCAAGTTTTCATTAGCTCAGTAATTTGGTACACACAACCTACTAAAGCTCTCTCCTTGGTGACTCCATTAGTAGTCAAGGAAGTTCAGTTTTAATAGACGCTGGGGGCTATATTCATCCTTGCCTAATGAGGGCTCAGTCTGGTCCATTCATTCCAACATGGTCTTCATGTTCTAATGTTTTTTATATGTCCTTGTTTCCCCTGCATTTCTTGATAATCTAATAAAAGCTTGCAATGCTTATGTATGTGCTATAACCTATGATCATTGACAGAAGAGTCCCACAACAGTCCAACATTAGTATCTTCTGTAAAAAGCCAAATACCAAAGGTTCATTTTCTTTCACAACTGGAGGTTCCTTTCCCTATTCTCTCTTTTTTAGAACTCACTTATGTGGGGAAATGGTTCGAGTAGCATAATTATACTGATATAACTCCTGCTGGTGTCCACACAGGGAGATATACCAGTCTAACTACGTTGCTAAATTTCCTATGAACCTTATTTTACACAGTGCAAATAAAATGAAGTGCTAATATTTTCCTTCTAAGTCCATGTGTCAATATAAAGGTTGCCAAATAGGGCAAAAGTCTCCTTTCGGTCATTCAGAGTAGTACTTAATTTCAGTTCTACTTTTGTGTGTGTGTATATGTCGCCCACTGCTAACAGTGCAGGGAAGTTGAATGCTAAAACTGAATTATTACCATCAGGATCTAGACAGAGAATATTGCCATAAATTTTTGGCTTAATTGCAACCTAGTGTCATTATTAGACTCATGATAATAGTGGGTTTTTTCCCAAATAAAGCTACATCTCGGTTTTCCAGTTAAATTGAATCCAGTTATTACTCATCTGAAACCTAAAAAGGAACATATCACTAAAGTATGGCTATAGTGAGCCTGGAGTCCATGGAATGTTAGCCTTCACTTGCTGTGTAGACAAGTATGTGTACAATTATTATCTGTGTATGTGGTTTAGACAAAGAAACCCCAATAAAGGCTGAGATTTACTCTTTGACACGATTTTAAAGTCCCATCTTCTTTTGCAGGTATTCAGGAGGGGACTCAATGTACCAAATGTAAAAATAACTGGGCACTGAAGTTCTCCATCATATTACTATATATTTTGTGTGCCTTGCTAACAATAACAGTAGCCATTCTGGGATACAAAGGTATGTACCATATCTGTCACAGTGTTTCACTTTCAAACAGGAATCCAAGCAGGAGCTCCAAGTATTAGAAAGAGATGGAGAGGAGAATGGATTTATTTTATATTCAGTTATGAGATTATTGCAGAATTAAACTTCTGTTAACATGATTCATTGTATGTTTGGTATAGTTTACATTAGAAAAACTTTGAAGATTCTTTTTCAAACAGCTATAAAGCTTTGACATTAGATTAGACATTTGTGGAGATTTTATATATATATATATAATTAAGTTACCAGTTTTCAATATGGAAGCGTATTAATTTAGAGAGCCAAGGACTTCAGTAAGGCTCCACACAAGTACCAGGATCCACCCCTAGAGTTCATCTTGTGTAAAGGAGGGGCCAGGAATGGTGTCACTTAATGTATTGTTTCAGAGTAGCAGCCGTGTTAGTCTGTATCCGCAAAAAGAACAGGAGTACTTGTGGCACCTTAGAGACTAACACATTTCTTTGAGCATAGGCTTTCGTGGGCTACCGCCCACATCTTCGGATGGTTCCATTCTATGCATCCGAAGAAGTGGGCTGTAGCCCACGAAAGCTTATGCTCAAATAAATGTGTTAGTCTCTAAGGTGCCACAAGTACTCCTGTACTTAATGTATTAATACTTTTTATCTGAGGAGCTCAAAAGTATAATGAATATTGTTCTTAATGATCTGGAAGAGGGGGTAAACAGGGTTGTGCCAAAACTGATGAATTGCTTATTCATCAGTTTTTAAGATGACTCTAAAAATATTTTGAAGACTCAGGAAATTCCAAAGAATCAAACAATGCTAAGCAATGTTTTGCCTGAGAAAATTATATACGAGTACAAAGTAATGCACATTGGAAAGAACAGTTTGATCTTCTCATACATATTGTTATTCAATTCAGCTATCACCACCAAATAATATAGGCATAATTCCTGACAGATCAATGCAAACATCTGCTCACTGTGCAGTATTGGTTAGGGAAAAAAGCCAGTTAAAAGCTTGTCTGTATTAAGAAAGGGGAAAAATAATCTGAAAATATTACAATGGGACTACTGTATACACTGATGGTTCCCCCTTCCTTTGATTCTGTGCTTCGTTCACATCACCTCAAAAAGGAAATAGTAGAAATAGGAAAGGGACAGAGAAAGGCAGCAAGCACAATTTAGCAGCTTGGAAGGACTTTTGTATGGGAAAAATTACAATGATCAGGACTGGTTAGAGAGAAGATTTCATAAGAGAAGAACTATGAATATAAACAAAAGGTCAATTGAGTGTTCCCGTTTATCCGTTAGTATAATACAATAACAAGAGGGAACTTAATAAATTAAACATATTTACAACAAAACACATTTTTTGCACAACTTATAACTAACCCATGGAACTCATTGCCACAAGATATTGAAACAAAAAACTTACTAGGATTCAATGATAATTAGATACTTGTAGGGATAAGAATATCCCCAGTTACATTAGCTGGATAAAAACAGAGGTAGACCCTTAGCAGGTTAAGTTGGGATAGATCAATTTACAGCAGCTGAGAATCTGGCTCTTATATGGGATATCAGTCCTCCATATTAAGCCAGCCACTAACTGCCGGGGTTCAGAAAAAGCTTCCACATTAGGCATGGTATTGCATACCTGTCTTTTCCAGGGTCTTACATACTTATTTGAAGAATCTGATGCTGTTTACTGTCAGAGACAGCATACCAGCTGGACCTTTAATTCATGGATTCCAAGGCCAGAAGAGACCATTGTGATCATCCAGTCTGACCTGTATAGCTCAGGCCATAGAACTCCCCCAAAATGTTTTCTTTTGAACTACAGCATCTCTTTTAAAAAACATCCAATCCACCACTTGGGAAGTTCATTGCCATCACAGTTTTATATTATATATCTTATTTCTAGCCTGAATTTGTATAGCTTCAACTTCCAGCCATCAGATCTTGTTATACCTTTGTCTGCTAGACTGAAGAGCTCATTATCAAATATTTGTTTCTAGGGTGACCAGATGACAGGAAGAAAATATCGGGACACGGGGGGGGGGAGGGGAAAGAGTCACTGGCGGAGCAAAAACCCAAAAAACTGAGTGCTGCCGGTGTAAGGACACAAACAGCTCCTTCTCCCAATTCCCTATTGTGGCCCAGTGCTGCCAGCAGTCGGGGGCGGGAGCTGAGAATAGCCGAGTGCTGCGGGCAGTCAGAGGAGATTATGCACCCTTCCTTAGGTATGCATACCTTCAGCCTCTGGTTTTTAGGAGCGGGAAAAAAACCAACGGAGAACAGCTGAGTGCTGCCGGCGGAGAAAAAAAAAAAAGCAGCGGAGTGCAGCGTCCCGACTGAAGATCAATCGGGACGCGGGACAAATACCTAAATATCGGGACGGTCCCGATTTTATCGGGACGGTCCCGATTTTATCGGGACGTCTGGTCACCCTAAATTTGTTTCCCACATAGGGACTTATAAACTGTGATCAAGTCACCCCTTAGCCTTGTCTTTGTTAAGCTAAATAGATAGAGCTCCTTGTGTCTGTCACTATAAGGCACGTGAACTGACCCGCTATGGCAATTTCTTTGTTCCTTCATGAAACCTCTGAATGGGAATAAGCAAACAAGGAGACCCTTACCTAAATGTCTCTCACTCTTCCTAACCCTACACTTTCACTTTCTCTCTCCACATGCCTTCAGTTCTGGCTTTCTTACTCTGCTCAAGGCCTTCCTCTCTCTTTCTACTTCCTCACTAAATTCCATTATGCACTTCCATGTATGACTACAACCATTTTGTCTTCTTTCCATCTCAGTAATACTCACTGGGATTTTTTCATTGGCATCACTGAGAGGAATTCCTTAGCCCATTACCGCAAGGAAAAAAACTGGAGGTTGTGTGAAGATACACATTCTCATTCAGTCATCATACCTGGGGGCCCACCAAACCCAATTTCAGGGGAGGGAAGCATGGCATTGGCTCAGAATCCATTCTCAGCCCAGCACTCTCCTCAACTTCCTGTTTCTCTACTCTCCACATCCCTCCTGTCACCCATATTTATTATTGTTTCTTACAGTTCTGTCTATTCCACTACATTTCAAAAGACACTGACTTCTTGAGTCAAATTTACCTCTTGAGTAATTCCACTGAAGTGAATGGACTTACACTGGGGATGAATTTGTTCTTTTGTCCTCACACTTGCATCCTGTGCACTGGTCAGCTGGCTTTTTACGTAGACCTTTCTGATCACCGTGAATCAGAAGACATACCAGTTTATGAGAAAAAAATATGATTTTTGATCCCCAAATGAACTGTTATGATACTTTTGTTTGTTTCTAAGGAGTTAGGCCTTAAATCTTGGACACAAAAGAAAAGTGAAATACATTTTTACAACAGTCTCCTCTACCTCAGAGTTCAGCTTCTTCTTTGTATGGTAATGTTACAATGAAAGATAGAATTTTGCTAGCATCAGGAATTCTTCCAATCTGTTAGCTACGTTCCATTAAAATTGTTTTCAATACACTGATGATTTATATTTATAATGCCCAAAGCTGCTTTTAAAACTTTTAGTTTTCTACATGGTACTTAGCTATCCTATGTTATTAAAAAAAAAAGACAAGAACTACTAATTAATGGATTAAATTTGGTTGGCAAGAAAAATAACTCTATGGGATACAAAATAAACAGAATAAATCTCCAAATTAGTTGTAAAATCTCTGTAACAAACCATAGAAAGCTGAAACCAAAACATGAATAATCAAGGTCTGAAAGGGATTGCAAGATGAGTTTACTATTCCTTTCCCTTCAGAATTAAACTTACATTCTTTCTGTTGTTAAAAACATTAATAAAATAGTGTTCTTGGTTTTCCAGATGTTTTCTTAAGGAAATTAAATGCAAAAGTATGTAGTTAAGATTCCTCTGGCACCAGTCAATGTAAAACTAATCTATTTAAAGTTAATGATTATACTCTTGCTCACTCCATGGCAAAGAGGGGAGGGGGAGGAAGTAAACATTCTTTGAATATCAGACTGAAATTTGAATTTCTGGTTATTTTCAATTTGTAGTAGACCTTTATATTGCAGCTTGTATCTTTAGGTTTGTGACTAATACAAACAACTCCTCTCATCTATTGCTTAGTCCTTCTGTAACCCAACTCACTGGGATGGGACACTTGTCCATGCTTCTTATCTGAGACTGAGAGCAGGGAGTAGGATCCAGACACTCTCTACGCTTCAGCAATTGGTTGCAAGGTTTGCATCTCTTAAAGGATGTCTGTGCAAAATTGCCCATACAGCAGTGATCTTAACAAAAACAAAGTTTATTAAAGATAGAGAAAATGGAATTAAAATCAAAAGAAGTGGTTTGTATAACATAGCTGGGTTTGCACTTTTCATCAGCTAAACTAGATGAAGTAGTCTCAGTTAATGAAGTAAATAGCTAACAGCTTAGTGCCCTCTTTGGTGGGCCTCTGAGCATCATGCTGCAGTGTACAGCACAATTTCTCTCCTTGTCCAGAGCTCTCTCTGATCTAGCCCATCTGATCCAGGGCTACTACTTAAAACTTATTTCCAGTTACACACACACATAGGCTTTAGACTCATGCATTTTTTAGGAACTGGACCACTGAGGATACAAAGATCCTTTTAATGATGATGAACATCTTTCAAAGGCTTAAGGATCTAGCTCAGACACTGCCATCTTGGCTGGTTGTATCTAGTTTTGATAAGGCCTCTTGTTATACCCCTTCAGGAAATTATTTATTTTGGCAAAAAAAAATATAAATTATGGGCAGGTCTCCAGTTTGTTCGTCATGAGGTTATTAGAATCATTTTTTAAATTTACACCTAATGTGCTAGCCAGTCAAATTTCTCAAAGGTTGATAACTGTTTTCTGATGAAAATTACAAATCCAAAAAACTTTAGCTTCTCCAAAACCAGCTGATTTTCCTGCTATGCTCTGGGCCCATTATGCTGCCCAAGTGGCATGAGTGGGCCAAAAAGCAACAACATG